AAAAAATGTTATGTCATCTTCCATTATTATGATTTGGAAATTTCATTTCCAATAACTTAACCGTTAATGCTAGCACAAAGCTGGCAACAAGCATATCCCGCCCCCACTATTATTTATAAAGGAAAAAAATTATGTACAACCTAAACGCTCGCTAGGACACTAGTATAATTATGCAAATCCATATAAACACACACCACGGGGTCAGAAGTGTGGAACCACATATGTGCAACTATTACCAGCAGTTACGCATGAGAGGGGACTATCTGCTGCTCCTCGACTGCCTCTTCCGGTCAAGAGTTCACTGTGATTTCAGTTGGATCTTTTTCTCTGTGCCTGAGTTTTTAAAAGAGCAAAGCTCTGGGCTGCAGAAGCAACCGTGAGGTAGAACTTTGAAAATAGAAGAGCCACTGCAGTTCAGACAGAGATGCTTTAAGTCACAGAGTTAAGTAGCACAAAATAGTGACAAGGGAAAAAAACGACCAAAGTCTAGGCAAAGGGTTCTGACAAGACACCAGCATGTCAGGAATAGCACCATCCAGAGCAGGTTCATACTGATTGCTGACTTTATGCTCTCACCCAGAGTTTCCAAACATTACTGATGCTCAGTACATTCTAAGCATTACAGATACTGGGGTGGGAAATGCTTCCTTGTGGGGAATTTTCCAGAGGATTCTATGAGGTTTATTGCATTCGGGCCTCTAGTCTCTAGATGGTAGCGTTACTCCCCACAACCCTTCCAGGTTATGATAACCAAAAAACTCAAATGTCCCCTGGAGGGAGGAAATTCACCCTGGCTGAGAGCCACACATTTAACCCTGCACTTGAAAGCCTGTATGGACAATATTCTCTTCCATCCCATTCCAATCTGCCTTCAACAAGCTTATAATCAAAAGAAAAAAAATCCCAATGTGAAGGCATTTAAAATTGTACGCACTATCCTACATACACAGGAGGCTTCAAGATGACTGACACTGGGAGTTTTGTCTACCACACATCTCCCCTCCCTCCCTCCCTCCCAACTTATCAACACAATGAAATTCCTCAAACGAGCGCTCCACAGTGGCCTTCAGCAGCTACCATATATTCGGGGCTGAATGCGTGTCACTGAATTTCATCTGGGGTCACCTCACCTGGTTCAAATCCTTGCTAGCTCTGGGACGCGATGTTGACTAAGTCACTTAACTTCCTCCACCTCAGCTCTCTCAACACAGAATTAATACTATGCACTTAATACTATGCACTTAAGTAAGGATATAAAGTGCTTAAAATAGTGCTTAGCAAACAGTAAAAATTCAAAGTCTGCTGTCAGCTAGTATTTCGAGTAGAAGTCTCCAAGCAGGCGATCGCCACCAATGTGTAGACAAAGACGAGGTGAGAGGCGAAGAAACTTGCCTGTGGTCAACACTAGAAGGTTATGGCGCAGTGATTCAAACGTTAAGATCTACTAGTCACCAGGGACAGTATCGATCTTACTTCAAAATAGTAACCAGCACGTATTTTTTTTAAGCGATTAATTTAGGACACTTTACAACACACAACTAAATTCAAGAGCATGGTCACAGAGCTTAACACACTTAACACAGACAACCTGCAGAGCTGATATAGATTATTATTTTAATGATTCTAATTTTTAAAAACCGGAACACAGACCTTAGCTCCTGAAACTGTTCACACGTTCTGTCAGAGCAGCTTGCTGCAAGGCCATCGACACCAAAGGAGAACAGGCCCGTCTGAGAAGACAGTCATCTCGCGTACGATCTCGAGCGTCCAGGCCTAACTCCAAGGTCACTACCTCCCTAGATGAGAAGTCTTGTCCCTGAGTCCCAGAAGGGCTCTGTGGACTCCCTGGATTTCTCCAACTGGCCCTTAATTGAAGACACCCACACACTGTGCACGAGCTATTTAGCCAATGCCTGGTTGTCATTCAACTTGTTCACCTTTACTTGAACTTTGTTCCCAATACTCCTTATTAGGGTCACCGGTGAATTCTGCAGCACCCCTTCCTGAAACCTTTTCACCCAGGCTTTGCCACATTTCACATCCTGTCAACCTGGACTTGAAAAACTACTTACTTTAGAGCAGGGAGGAGGAGCATCAGTAGACCTACATAACCTTATGGTCCCAAGAGGAAAGATCTGGAAGAGCCCCTGAAGCCCTGGCCCACCCTGTGGCTCCCCAGAGCCCCGGACAGGGGGAACTCGGGACTCTCCCCCGCCCTCCCGTGGGCTCCGTGAGGAGTGTGCACCTGGCGAGCTGGGCTCTCTTAATATTCTTTGCTGTTTTAGTTACACATTTGGATTTTAACCCCTTTTCCTGCCTTCACGGTTCAATAATCTCTCTCAGTGAGGGATGACCGAGGGGTTGAAAGTTGTCCGTCATGTTCATTTAAAAACAGCCCAAATAACCCCAAACTACTGCACGAAAGGGCAAGAGGCGGCTGGGTCTCTCCTGCTGTGTAGAACCAAAATCCTGCCGCCCCTTACTAGCCTTCTATAAAAGTCAGTCTCCCGGCTCTGTCCATACCAGGGGCCATACTCTGGTCTCTTTGCTGATCAAAGGGAAAACAAAAGAAACCTTATTTTAGCTCTCATGTTCCGAAACTTTAGGTCTCACTCTCCTTTCCTCATATTGTTGAGACTCCCTATTAAGCGGCTAATTTGTCCATCATCGGTCCTGTGCCAGGAAAGCCTATCCTGGCCTTGACCACCAGATGACAGACAGGTAATCAGTGCTGGACCCGCGAATTCCAGGTGCTCCCACATGCACACCGAAGTCTTCCCACAAATGACTGAAATTCCCGCTGATAAATTATAGCTCCTCCCTCCCTTTCTTTACACACACACTGCTTCACACGCAAATCTTCCCTCAGAAAGCCCTGTACACACTCCTCCCCGGGGATGGCCGCCCTCACCGCTGCTCCCTCAATGCCAACTCTAAAGTCCCTGTCTCTGCAAAGCCTCCCCGAGGTTTCTGTTCCTTTGAGTCACACAGCATTTGGTTCATAACAACCTAACGGAACCTGTCGTTTACACTGTGTTTCTTTCATTTCTCATGCACACTCCTGATGACAAAGCACTAGAGGACAAAATCTCTAGCTCTCAGCTTTGCGCTTCCCCACACTGCCCGGCACAGTGCCTCACACATCCGAAGCTTTCAAATATAGTTGCCAACTTAAAGGTGGGCCTCCCAGGACTTTTGGACACCAAATTAGTCTCTTAAGGTCTTTCACTAATAACTACATTTTACGTATGCCTCACATTAATTCTTTTTCACTTAGTATTTTAAAAAAACTGTCCTAATTTCAGGGCAATCTGTATAAAAAGTCTACTCCAAAAGGTATCTGGGTCTCTCCAAGTCACTTATCAAATGAGCAACTCTCCTCCACTCAAGCCTACTCTACACCAAAAATGCATTCAACTCAACACCTCAGGGCTGAAGCACAGTTACTTAGAGCCATCACGAAAACTGTCCGAGAGGCACAAAATAAATATTCCTTGTCAGAGCTAGCTTGCTAGAGAACAGAAAAATCTTGCGGTAATTCTGAAAGGCTGCAGGATGACCAACTGCCAAGTAACACCTGAACAGGAAAAGAGACTGAAACATGCTGAGAGTCCCCAAAGTAATATTCCTTACTTCCCAAAGTAAGAGGAAAACTTCCCATTAACATATGGAATTCCTGTGCGCTTTCCCTTGATCAGAGCCAACGCTGTCAGTGGCCATCACCACACGTCACAGATGCCCACCGCTATTTTTAAGGCAGAAAACTCCTTGAGCCCAAAGGCAATTCCGTTCACAGAGCTTTGGTTAGAGCCTCCCCAGGGCAGGCAGGGAGCGGAAGCCAGGGGAAAAGCAGGTATCATAAAATCTTTCCCTCACAAAGTAAATAATCTCAAATAGTTCTCCACCGCAGGGTAGATTCTGGATTGTCTTTGCCACTTTATACACCATCGCCATGACTTTGTTCATTTTACCTGTTACTTGTGCTGGAAAAACAAGCTTAAAGGTTGATTTTCCTGCCTCTCAAACCCAACGGGACAGAGAGGGGTTGGGAGGGAAAGCAGCAGCACCTCCCTCTCGAAGACACACCATGGAGCGCGCTTGTCTTCTGACCCACCTACACATGTGCACAAATCAGTCAAAAAACACAGGCCTCTTGTAGCGGCGCTTGAAAAAATGGGAAACAATCAGTTCCTATTTTATTAGCAAGATGACTCTTGGCAGTATCAAAATATTTTAACACTCCAGGAGACGGTGCCGGTATTTAAGTTTTAAGCACGTATCTCAGAGACAGGCAGATCCGTGCAATGACAAAGCTAAAACCCTTCTCTCTCATGAATGAGGGTGAACCACGGCAGTCACCCACTCCACCCTATGCCCACCCGTGCCGCGGGTGGCCAGTTCAAAAATTCGGAGAGCTGTCCTTGCCTCCGCTCCACCAAGACACAAATTCCACACAACACCTTAGTGCTGAAGCACAGTTGTGCAGAGCAAGAAAATGCTGTTAATGCTGACATTTATCATTCTATTCCCCAGATTTACCTGCGCCTTTTTCACACTCGCTGGACCCCACCCCTCCCCGGCCTCCACAAGGGCAAAGCTCCTGAGGCCGGCTCCCTTGCAAGGAGGCACCTGCTCAGATTTTCGAGGTGAACTTCCATCACCAGGTTCGGGACGAACACCTACCACGCTGCCCAGGTACCGTCTAGCGGAGATACCCCGAACCTGCGTCCCACCTCAGCCTGGAGCCTGCGAGCCGCCGGAACACACGGGGGGGGGGGGGGCTCTCCCGGAATTTGAAGGAGAGCCGCAGCCCCGGGCGAGCGCGCCTGGGTGTTTCCAAGTTCCACCGCGCGGGAGAACCCCGGCGCGCTCGGGACAGAGGCGCTCCCCGGGCCGGGCGGCCCCGCGGTCTCCGGAGCTGCAGGGGCGCCGCCAGGAGGCCCGGCCCCCCAACCCCCCGGCCCCCGCGCCCCCGCCGCCGCGCGCCGAGCCCGCCTCACCAGGACGGTGGTGCAAATGGACCTCAGCTCGGACTCCACCTTCTCCCGATAGTCCTTGATGAGCTGCAGCTTCTTGTCCGAGGCGTCCGTCTTCTGCTCGATGCTCGAGATGACGCGCCAGGCGGAGCGGCGGCCGCCCACCACGTTCTTGTAGGCCACGGACAGCAGGTTGCGCTCCTCGTTGGACAGCTCGGCGCCCTGCTCCGTCACGGCCTTCATGCAGGTGGCCATGTCGTCGTAGCGCTCGGCCTGCTCGGCCAGCTTGGCCTTCTGGATCAGCTCCGTCTTCTCCATGGGCGGCGCGCGCGGGGCTCCGACCCGGGCGAGGCTGCGGGGGCGCGGGGGGCGCGCGTCAGACAATGCCCCGCGCCGCCGCGCCCCTTTGTCCGCCCGCGCGCGCCCCACTTGAATTTCCCTCCCGCCGCCGCGCCCGGCGCCGCCAGGCCGAGGTCCCCGGGCGCGCGGGGGGCGCGGGGCCCCGGGGCGGGAGGCCGCGCCCGCCGCGCGCCGCCGGCCCAAGATGGAAGCGGCCGTTGGCCGCCCCTTCCCGCCGGGCCGCCCGGGCCGCGGGGAGGCCGCCCCGCCCGCGCCCCGCCGCCCCGCGGCCCCCGCGGCCCCCGCCCGCCGCCCGCCCGTCGGGGCCCGGGGCCGCCGGCCTCACCTTGTCGTGTCCGCGGCCGCGGCGCGAGTCCCACCACTTTGATCCGCTCGGGGCTTTAGCCGAGGACCCTCCCGTCGCAGCCTACCCCGCCGCCGAGGGGCGGGCCGTCGCGCGGCGCCCTCGCTCCCGCCGCCCAATGGCGCGCCGCCCTGCCCCGCGGTCCCGCCTCCCTCCCCGCTCCTGGCCAATGAGGGCCGAGCGCGCGGAAGGGGGCAGGGGGCGGGCGGGGGAGCGGAGGCTGGGAGGGCGGGTCGGCCCGGGGAAGTTCGGTTGGCCGGCAGGCTGCGGCTTCGGCCACGGGGTTTCCTCCAATTAGATCCAGGGTACAAGGACGTCACTGTTGCCATGGCGATGCTGCTACCAACGCCCCTCGCCGCCCGCCACCCCGGCGCTGCGGGGCGCGGCGCGGGAGCGCCCGGCGGGAGACCCGTCCTGCCCCCGCGGGCCGCGCGCGCCCGGATCCGCCGGCGGGTGACACCCCCGCGGCCGAGCGGCCCGCGCGCCCCCCGCCGCCTTCCCGCCGCGGCAGAGGCCGGGCGCCCGCGACCCCGAACCAGCCTTTCCAGACGTTTCCGCGGGGCTGCGGGTGGGAGACCCCTCGGCCCGGAGAAAGCGCGCGCTCCCTCCCCTGGTGATGCGAGTTTGGGGGCCGCGCCTGAACCCTAGAACCGCCTTGTAAAATTCCCGGGAAGGTCCAGGCAGGTCTCTCTGGCAGTGCCAGGTATTGCGATTTTCCTTCAAAAGGGAACTGCCATGAATGACAATTTAGAGGAACAACGACTACTCCCTCCCCCCCCCCCATAAATATATAAGCAGAAAGCAATAGCTTTTATGTGTCTTTCCAGCCTCCAGGTTATGCATCTGAAGACACATCTTGCACACCACTGACTGACGTGTGCACAGTTGTTATTTCCTGGTGTCGTTTTTGAAGGACTCTTGAGAGGCCAAACTCCCGCACGTGGGCTTCTGACTTTCCCCTAGTGACCCTCTGAGGTGAGGAGGACTGCCCAGGCGCCTCACAGGTGGGGTTCTTGCTTTCTCATTAAACTAGACACTCCCTTCAGCCACTCCCTCTCTCCTGGCACTTTCCAGGGGACCTGGCCTCCAAATAAGGTGACCGTCCCGGGCGTCTGGGAAGTGGCTTCTGTGCCTTCTGAAGATGAGCTCCCCCCTGGCTCCCCAACACACGCACAATGATGCTGGTTCTAGCACATCCACAGAGAGTGGACCGTTGAAACCCAAGAATGTCACCACCAGAAAGAATTTCTAATTCTGGGAGGAGACCCCGGGAGATCTGGCGAAACTCGAGAATGGAAGAGCTGAGCGTGCAGGCAGATGGCCGGAGAAGGTGTGGACTTTCCAGAAACCTGAACTCCCTCCCAGCTGCCCCTCCCTGTCCTGACTTGTAAAGGTTGCTTTGTGCTTTGACAGACAGGAGAGGTCTGGGTTGGAAAGGGCCTGTGTTTTAATGCAGGAATGCCTTACTGTGTCCAGTGTTCTAGTGGAGAGCTCTGCTGTTATTTCTGGAATCCCTGGGGCCAGACTGCAGACACAAGAGTGTTTATGGCCGTGTGGGCTGGGGTGGAGCCGGACACCAAGAAATCCCAGTGGAAAGAATTTGCATGTGGAAGGTCAGATAAAATGCTTTCTGTATGACCAGTGAATTTCAAGCTTACTGAAATTAGAGACAAACCAGGCAAGAGGAGAAATCAGTGGGGTGGATGGACGATGGAGACCCTTGAGGGGAGTTATCAGGGGGCTGAACCCCTGTAGCAGTCTGGGATGCGCTGCCATCTCCCCAGGTGACCTTAGTCACATCTAGGTTTTTTTGTTGTTTTGGGGATTTTTTTTTTCTGCTTTCGTTACTCAGTCCTTAAAATTTCTGCTTTCTTTCAAGCATCGCATATTTACTGAGCATAACTCATATAGCTCTGATCATCTGGGATCACGGGTGAAAAGTGCTTTGAATCGATGGCACAGACTAAAATGGTAAAGTGTTTTAGGAGAGTCCGGAAGAATAGGTGTGTAGCTAATGACCACTGCACGTGACAGGACTCAGGTAGGAGAAGATAGAAGTTCTGGAGCCTGAATTCCCCAGACACACAGAGAGATGACACGTTTGCGTCATTCTTTGTGTCTGTCAAGCACTTTTAAATCTTTTGCAAGTACTAACACATTTGTTCTGCTCCGTGACACTACAGAGTGCTTGCTTTCACGGCCAAGGTCTCCATTTCATAGATAAGAAAAGTGAGGCACAGAAATTATGCGTCACACAGTGAGGGGCAGAGCCTGGACAGAGCAGAGTAGAGTCTGGGGCCAAAGCCCACCCGGAGACATTCTTAGTGCTCTGAAGACTCTAGGAAAGATCAGATAACTTTGTCCTCCAGGAGTTTCATCCTAGAAAATAGGAACCATGTGGAGGAGAGAAGTTGAGGGAACCAACTGCTAACAAAGAAAGCACTGAGAAGTTATTACTCTGTTTATTTGCTGGGTTTGTTATTTTTTCTAAATTACTTGTGAGAAGCTTCTGGGGGAGGAGCACACTGAATTTGAATCCAGAAAAGTCTAAATCCCAGCCTTGCTATTTATTTGGGTTCGACCTTGGACATCACGATCCTTTTTGAACCTCAGTTTCCTGATCTGATAAAAGAGCCCCTACCTCAAAGAGTCCTCAGTGGAGGCCCCACAGGACAACGCCGGCCAGATTACATGCGTTCAGTAAATACTGCCTCCTCCTTCTTCCCCTCTGCTGGGGTGGAGTCCAGGGGGAGGAGAGAGACCCCTATCAGGCAGCCAGGAAACTCTGAGCCTATGAAACTTTGGTGAAGGATTATTTCTTGAATCGTGTTTTGGTTAGTGGGGTTAATGACGGAATTCAGCAACATCTCAGCCCTGGAGCGAGAGAAAATTCCCCAGCAAGTGTCCTTCCAACTTCATCTGCAACATTTGCTCTTCCTGGATCCACAACAGCTTTCAAACTCGCCCTGACACATCGGTCCTCCAGGGTCCCCAGCCCCCCAGCCCACCCTGTAATTTTGGAATTTGAATTTGCTAGTTCTTTATAATTTCTCTCTCTCTCTCTCTCTCTCTCTCTCTCTTCCTCTCTCCCCACAGACACACACACATACAGTGAGTCTTCACTCATCGTCATCGACAGGTTCTTGGAAACTGTGACTTGAAGCGAGACCACACCTAACATGAGCAGGTCCCCGCATAAGTCAGTGTGTTCAGTGAAGCCTGGGTTTCTTTCCTCTCACCGGAGTCTGCACAAGGTGATACTGAAGAAGCTTTGAGGATCTGCTGTGCTCTTGGAAGGGCCGTCCCAACCCTTAACTTGGCTCGGTTTTCCTTAGTTCATTCACCACAATATTAAATAGATCTACCACGTGCCAGCCACTGGGGAGGATTCCCAAAATGACGAAGGCACTGGCCAGAGAGCACCGAGTACGGACCTGGAGCTTCCTTTTCAGCTCTCATGTGTCCGGTCCCTGATTTCTAAGCCCACGGCACCCACAAAGGCTTGTTTACAAAAGTAGAGTAGAATTATTCTGGGGAGTCCCCCCTTCTCCCCTAACGATTCTGAGTCAAGGAGGAGCTGGGGCTTCAGGGATCCTGCGGGCAGGCCGGGATCCAGGCTACTTCTAAAATCTGTGCCAGGTGAACAGTTCGCAGGTGGAAAAAATAAATTTTAAAACTGACGAAAAAGCTCAAGAGGCTGGTGTGACTTAGCGGAAGGGCACACGAGCCACACGTCTCAGGCAGGGCTGGGAATATAGCAGTGAGCCTCGATCACACACACAGAAATGTTCATTATGTCTTATTTTTTGGTTTTCTCCATCCATCCATCCATCCATCCATTCCTCCCTCCCTCTGCCTCTCTCTGTTTTTATCCATGTATCTAACTATGTATCTAGCCTCTGTCAATACGTATTTATTTATCTACATATCTACATAATTTTTAATGTCCAGAGTGTTTTCTTTTCAGTTTTGGTATATAAAGCAACAAATCTTCAATCATCTCCCAACTTATGACTCATTTGCAGACAATTCAGGACAACTGAATGGGTGAATGGACACAGGGCAGCTGGAACAATGCACACAGGAATTGATTGTGTGGTCCTCACACAAAGTGCGATGGGAGGAGGGAGACATGAATGTGGGCTGGAGCGACTTCAGATTTCAGCCTCCAAAGTTCTGCGGAGAAACAGTCAGGCCAGGAAAAGGGGGGAAGTGCAGAGACCATGATGGTTTGTTTCTGACCTTCCCCCACTTGGGTAGAAGCTTCTGGAAGGCAGGAGGGCCACAGCTCCCGAGCAGGAGTCAGCTTTAGACAGGGCTGTACCCCGAGAGGGTGGCCCTGGATGTCATGTCGGGCCGCAGATCCCCGGGGAAACTAGTGATGTTCGCCTCCAGGCCCCTTCAGCTGGGTGATCTCGTGACACAGGCAGCCTGACTTTGAAGCGACTTCCCTGCACAAAACCTTCTAGCGGCAGCTCGGGGCTGGACTGGAAGCCTGGATTCTCCTGTCTGTTCAGCTGCACTGCTCACCAGAAATGTGCTCTCACACATTACCTAACTAACCTGGGCCTCAGTTTCCCCCTTTATAAAATGGGGTGATCGTAATCCTACCGACTTCTTTGGGTTGTTATGCGGCTGGCTGCAGTAATGCCGGAAAGTGCCGTGACCACTAGCACACGTGTTTGCTGGTTAGACAGATTCAACTCAAATCTTTGACTCTTAAGCCCCCCGGGACCCTCCCCCACCTCCACTCCTGGCTTCTCTCCTGGCTCCCCGCTCCTGCTTTGCTTGTGCTTCCAACCCTTCTGAGCTTTTCTCCAGTGCTTCCTCTCGGCCAGCTCTTCGGCTCCTCTCTGCTCCCAGCTGGTTGAGCCCCCCTCTCACGCGTGTCCAGACCCTGCCTGGCTGAGGGCATCAGGGAGGCAGAGCTACGTGCCCACCTAGCAGAGTGCTCGGCAGGGGCTTTGGGTACCAAGAAACAGGCGCCAGGATGGACGAATTAACCCAGGCTGGAAGAAGGAGTCCCAGCCAGGCTTGCGGTGGCCGCAGGCCCGACTGAGCCCAGGCCTGCTCAGGACATCTTCAGGCTCTGGTCAGGGTCCAGCCCCACTGGGGACCTGGGGGACTCTAGCTGGGAAAGGCTGGAAGCTCCAGGGCCCCCGCCAGCCATCCCTCCTCAGTCCCTTCCAGCTGCAAACCCCAGTTGCACTGAACACCAGGCCATTAAAAGAACGCAAGGGTTATTTTGGAGGGAAAGACTCATTCGGAGGATGAATAAACTTCAGACCATTTCTCTTCTGGTTTCTTAAAAGCAGAATAAGGACAGGGAAGAAACTGGCGGGGAGAGGGTGAGGTGGTTCACCCATCCAACAAAGCTTGTTCCATCAAAAGCCACCCCTGGAAGAAAGTGGATCCCTACTACCTGCCCTGCTATTAGCATGCCACAGGTGCTCCGAGACGCGAGATCGCTGGGATCCATGTGGACGATCAAAGGCTCCCCAGCCACACCCGGGCCTGCAGCTCTGAGACTCAGCCGGAGTGACGAAGCCAGAGCCGCTTCGAGGGCCGGCACAGGGGCAGATTCTGACTTGGGTTCACACATTATGCAGTAGCCACGGCCTCGGGTGCCCCACCAGCTTCCTGAAAAATAAAGGGGAAGGACAGAAGTGGGTCTCTTCTGGAGCCCATGAGCCCAAATAAAAGAGATTTTTTTTTTTTTTTAATTTAGGACGTCGGTGAAATGAGAATTTAGTCATAGTCAGCCATTTGGGGTCTTTGATGGGAAGTGGTAGCTGCCACACAGACACCCCTGGGAGACTGGAGAGGCTGCTGCGGACGCCCAGCCTGGACGTGAGAGGAGGCAGCTGGGGGCTGGCAGCCCTTCCACTCCCCAGGTCTGGTCCAGGTGCCACAGGCCCTCAGGGCCTCCGAGCCTTCAGCATTAAAAGCACAGTTAGCTGGTAGCAGCTCAGAAAGCAACAGTTTCCTCTCCTTCCTGAAGACTGGGGTGCCAGCTTGGGCAAGGGTAATTTCTGCATCAGAGTCCTTAGTTGCAAGTAACAGAAACAGACTCATTGGCTGATAGATAAGACCATCACTCCCCACCCATGGTGAGGGGGCCTGGCCAGCCTGGGCGGGCAACGGGAAGGGATTGTGGCCGAGTCACCGCAGACCCCACACAGAGATGCTGAAATCTGAGGGGGCCTTGCCACCTCCCCCCCTCAAGGGATTCTCTGCAATTTTGCTTCTGTGGGTCACTGTCTCCAGATTTACAACCCTCGGTGGGGTGTCTGGCCAAGTCTGAGTCAGGTGACACACCTTGCTAGGAGACAAGCTGAGGCAGGTGAGTCTGGAATCCACGTTCCAGAGAGGAAGTGGACTTGGCATCCCCCTGAGACTCAGAACATGCGAAATTCCTCAAAAGAAGGGGTCTCAGACCCTGGGCAGTCCCAAAGTAGCCCCTGTCTCCCGCCACGAGGCCTGGGTACTGGGCTGCCTGGAGGAGAAGAGCAAACGCCTTGGGGCAAGTCTTGGTCTGCATCTCACACTCTCTCCCAAGACCAGGCGGGAGGCTCGGGGACCCTCAACACCCCTTCCTGAAAGGCCGACCTCGCCAAAATTGACCTCCTCCTGGACCCACAAATGTCTCTCTCTTGCTGAAGGCACTAATCCACCTCTAGATTGCATCATGTATTTTAGAAATGAATTACTTCATTTGTGTATGTCTTGTAAAGCTCCCCCAGGATGGAGACAAAAATCTTATTCATTAAATAGTTAACAAACATTTACTGAGTGTCTGCTGGGCAGGGGGTGGGGCCCAGGGGACAAAGACAGGGCCTGTGCCTGGGAGAAGCTGGTCACATCTGGTGCCAGGTGTGCGGAGGTGTGAAGGCTGTGCAGGGAGGCGCCGATTTGAGAGGGTCTTCCCTCTAGGGGAGGGGAAGCAGCGCACCCCAGAGAGGGAACAACCTGGACAGAGAAAAGGCCTGTTGTGTCGGGTCACAGATGTGGCCTTGGTGTGTGTGTGGCAAGCAAGGACAAGGAGGCCGCAGCTGGGGCTGGGACCACCTTCTGGGGGGCCTGCATGTCTCTCCTGAGAGCTTAAGGAACCACCAGATACTCTATTTTTGTTTTTATTGTGGTAAAAGACATAACCTAAAATGGTTTTAACCATGTTGGAGGGCATGGTTCAGTGGCATTAAAGTGTATCCATGTGGGCCTCCCCGGTGGCGCAGCGGTAGAGTGCTGGGTTGCGAAGCTGCCCACAGCCTCTGCAGCGCTGGTTCGATCCCTGGCGGCTCCCCGGCCACCGGAGGAGGGTCCCACATGGCGCGCAGACCCCTCCTGCCGCCCGCTGCTCCCCTCAGCAGTGTCCTTCGGTCCTTCTGCCTGCTCTGCTCCCCGCTCTGGCTCTGGTGAATTCTCTCACCCTCCCGCGCTTCTGACTGTACCCAGTGCTTGTATAAACAAAACACACAAACAGATAAATAAATAAATAAAACATGCCTCTATAAAAAAAAAAAAGTGTATCCATGTTATTGTGCGTCTGTCCCCTTCCTCCGCCTCCAGAGCTTTTTCATCTTCCCAAATAAAACTGCGCACATTAAATAACCCCTGTTCCTCTCCCCCCAAACTCTGCCACCCTGGATCCTATTTTCTGTCCCTCTCATCAGATACTTTTAAGCAAAAGAATGACCGAATGGAATTTTCTAGAAGGATCCTTCTGCCTACCAGATGAAGGAAGGGCTAGAAGACCTAAGGTAGAAAGAAATTTCAGAAAATTCCAGAAGAGCTAGAGAGGCTGACAGGAGGGGACGGAATGGTTCAGAGATACTGATCGGTAGATATGGGAGTCAAGAGTCATGCAAGATGATTCCGGGGGGACTTTTTCTACTTTATTTTCTCTATATTGACCCTCAAACCCTTTCTTGAGTGAGGAAAAAAGATTTATGATCCTATAAAATTGATTTTTGAATAATCCTCTGACCCCAAGGACTCACAAATATTTCAAAATTACAGCCCAAACAGATGGCGCAGCACACACTCCCTGCACTGTGGCAGTGGGGCCGATGACCTCGGAGAGATTTGAC